CTCCAAACCTCTCATCCCAAGCTCTGTTAGGTCAGAGACATCAACAATTTTCTTCAACTGGGCCACCAGAAAAAAAGTTTGAAAACCACTGCCCTAAAGAACTCAAAATCCAGATTAACAAGAAGATGCAACAAATGGATGAAACAAATGGGAGAAGGTGGTGGGGAGGGAGAGCAGCATGTTTTCCTGCAGATTAGCTGTTTTTTTAAGAGGTTAATCTAGCAGCTATGCATTTTTTCAGGGAGTCTGTCTGACAGGTAAAGAAGAAAGACTGGAGGATCTCTAGGAGACCTGGATTAAAAGGCGATGAAGGTTGGGTATGTTGGTAGAGCTCAGCTGGTAGTTGACGTCATGAGATGAGACGTCTGGCAGGTTAGGCAGGACTGTGATGAGATGTGCTGTGAAAGAGAGGATACGAAACTTATTTTTGATGTGGTAAAGAAGGGAGTCCCTGTGGAGGGATGAACAGAATAGGGGTTGAGATAAACCTGTAATAAAGGCAAGTCCATAGAGAAGAATATAAGGGACTGGATGAGAGCTTTGGCAGTCTGGACTGAGAAAAGCTGGCTCTTGTAAATCTAAAGAAGGTAATGCCTCACATTTTGTTAAAACACAGTACGAATTACACACTCAAAGGGTTAAATTTTTTCGCCTTTTGGGGAGGAATTGTGAACAAATGTTTACTTAATCTTTACAATTCAACTCTAACTGAAATGTGCATTAATATTTATGATGCCATTCTCTTTTCTGTCAGTGATTACTTGTTCTCCTCCTCCTAATATTGCCAATGGGATGGAATGTCCTGTTTTACACAATGTACCTTATGTTACCATACGTGCTCAGGGTGATGTATACATGGTAAATAATGTAAAATTTTAATTGAAGGAACATAAATCCACACCGTGTAGAGGTCGAGCATAGGAGTTTATTACACATAGTGCTGGCGGAGTGTCACTTTGCTTATTAGGCTCAGAGACCCTGTCAATCAATTGATTACAATAGAATATATGGATTTTCCATGGGCGGGGGAAAGTGATGGGGTATGCAGTTCCATGCCCCGAGATAGGTCTAGCTGCAAGACAAGATAGCACATTAGCCATTGGTTAACAGGTTACATAATGTCTCTGCCCATGGTCCAAAGTTAGCAAGTTAACATTTAATTAATACTTTGATAAAATGTTATTAGTATAAAATATATATGTTGAATTCTGATTTGGGGTCCATAGAGTAGCTCCTCTGATTGTCCAGCAGATGCATTCCTAGGGGTTAAAACAAAGAAACAGTGAAAGTATATGGCAGTAAAGATTGTCTCCTTTGTGTTTTAAGGCAGGCATTGGTCCCTGGGAAGGGGAGGTGGGAGGATGCCATATTTTATACTGCCATATTTTATACTTTATTAAACTCAAGGTTGGATCGTGGGAAGAACGTCTCCCTACAGAAGAAACTAACAATCGAAACAGGGCTTCTTTGTTCAATCTGCAACTCTGAATAAGACACAGTTATTTAGTTCTCAGCTCCAACACCTTGCAATTTGCCGGCTAGGCTTATTTTAGCAAAACAAGATTATCTGTTTATCCCAGCTTTCTCTTAGCTGATCACTATTTGCTAGGCCTCTGGTCTCTTGACCAAATTCTGGACTTTAGGTCTGGAAATGAGCTGGCACAATCCATATACCAGGTTGTTCTATAAAATGCACATGGGTTTTAACCCTTCATTAACGTGGTTAAATTAATCGTGTTCATAGTATTGCCTGTTGATAGTGTAGGGAGCATCACAAATACTGCAATAAAGTGAAACACTTTGGTGTGGTAAATGTCTTTTTTGAAAAATTGTAGCTGCTTTATCCCTGATAACGAAATATAGAATTCATAAATTCTAGGACTGGAAGGGACCTCGAGAGGTCATTGAGTCCAGTCCCCTGCCCTCATGGCAGGACCAAATACTGTCTAGACCATCCCTGATAGACATTTATCTAACCTACTCTTAAATATCTCCAGAGATGTTGATTCCACAACCTCCCTAGGCAATTTATTCCAGTGTTTAACCACCCTGACAGTTAGGAACTCTTTTCTAATGTCCAACCTAAACCTCCCTTGCTGCAGTTTAAGCCTATTGCTTCTTGTTCTATCCTTAGAGGCTAAGGTGAACAAGTTTTCTCCCTCCTCCTTACGACACCCTTTTAGATACCCGAAAACTGCTATCATGTCCCCTCTCAGTCTTCCCTTTTCCAAACTAAACAAACCCAATTCTTTCAGCCTTCCTTCATAGGTCATGTTCTCAAGACCTTTAATCATTCTTGTTGCTCTTCTCAGGACCCTCTCCGGTTTCTCCACATT